GTCGGTCGCTAAATGAGGCATTGTATGTTGAAGACAACCTTCATCCACTTTAGGCCACTAAAAGAGTCTTTTTTTTCCTTTCTTTTTCAACCATCCATCCTGGATAGGAGCCGTTCTAACAATTAGAGAAACTGAAAAGCAAACTCGATATCTTTCTGGGTTTTCAAGGCAATTGAATTTTTTAATTTTTTTTTTTTAAAGCTAGAAGGCTGGTGCACCGTTAATTAAGCACCAACACCCAGGAATAAATATAACTAGAGTTACCCTTTATCTTTTCTTCAAAACAGGTTTAATATAGCTGGTAAGCGATGTTCGTTCCAAAAAAGAAAAAAGAAGAAGAGATTTCATTCCATTCTCAAGTATGTCAGGGGTTTTAACAGCTTCCTTCCCCTTCCTTTTTAAGCACGGCCGAGTGGGTGGTTCTTTGGGGGGGGGGGTTGTTTCACTTGTTTGTTTGTTTGTTCTTTCGCCCAAATTAATCCCGATGGGGTTCACCAACGGGACAGAGAGGGCCGATGAATCACGGCACAAGACTCGGCGGTACTAACTGGCATTTCAGAGCTGTCTCAAGGCTGCTTTTTGAAAAGGGGAGAAGGAGAAGGAAGAAGGGAGAAGGGAGAAGTAGAAGAAGAGGAGGAGGAGGAGGAGAAAAAGAAGAGGAGGAGGAGGGAGAAGGAAGAGGGGGTGGTGGTGAAGGAGAAGGAGGAAAAGGAGAAGGGGAGAGGGGGAGGGGGAAAGGGTGGGGAGAAGGGGAGGAGGAGCGGAGAGAAGGAGAAGGGAAGGGAAGGGAAGGGAAGGGAAGGGAAGGGAAGGGAAGGGAAGGGAAGGGAAGAAAAGAGAAGAGAAGAGAAGAGAAGAGAAGAGAAGAGAAGAGAAGAGAAGAGAAGAGAAGAGAAGAGAAGAGAAGAGAAGAGAAGAGAAAATATGAAGGGAAGGGAAGGGAAGGGAAGGGAAGGGAAGGGAAGGGAAGGGAAGGGAAGAGAAGAGAAGAGAAGAGAAGAGAAGAGAAGAGAAGAGAAGAGAAGAAGAGAAGAGAAGAGAAGAGAAGAGAAGAGAAGAGAAAACAGAATAGAGGAGAGGAGAGGAGAGGAGAGGAGAGGAGAGGAGAGGAGAGGAGAGGAGAGGAGAGGAGAGGAGAGGAGAGGAGAGGAGAATAGGGAGAGGAGAGGAGAGGAGAGAAGAGAAGAGAAGAGAGTTGGAAGGGACCTTGGAGGTCTTCTAGTCTAACCTTCAATCTCTTCTTAAAAACCTCCAGTGTTGGAGCAGCCACAACTTCTGGGGACAAGATGTTCCACTGGTCAATTGTCCTCACTGTTTGGAAGTTTCTCCTTAGTTCTAAGTTGCTTTTCTCCTTATTAGTTTCCATCTGTTGCTTCTTCTCCTGCTTTCTATGGTGCTTTGGAGAATAAGCTGACCCCCTTTTCTTTGGAGCAGCCCCTCAAATATTGAAAAATGCTATCATGGCTCCCCTAGTCCTTCTTTTCTCTAGACTGGCCAAACCCAAATCCTGCAAACGTTCTTCGTATGTTTTAGCCTCCAGGCCTTTAATCCTCTTACTTGCTCTTCTCTGCACTTTTTCCAAAGTCTCAACCTCTTTTTTGTAATGTGGGAACCAAAACTGGATGCAGGATTCCAGATGTGGCCTTACTTAGGATTTATAAAGCGGTACTAATCCTCCAGGTGATTTTGATTCTATGCCTCTGTTTATACAACCAAGGATCGTATTGGCTTTTTTGGCTGCTGCCGCACACGGCTGGCTCATCTTTAAGGGATCGTCCATTGGGACTCCAAGGTCCCTCTCATTTTTCCTATCTCATTGCTACAGGTGTGTGTGTGTGTTTGCAGAATGGCACGGTGGAAATTCAAAGATGCCAAGTTACAGATTTGTGTCGGTTGCGGGACAAAAACACAGGAGGTTTTCGCTATAAGGAGACGCCGAACAATTCCCAAAACTACGATGGAGAGAAAGATGTTTCTTTCTCTGCTCCAACATCAAGTCGTGAATTCCAAGCCATCAGCTCAGCAAGAAAAATTAAATCTGTATATTTATGCCAAGGACCCATATTTGCAGGACTCTGAAACCTCCCGACCCTTTTGCAGGATTCACAAGTGGTGCCCTTGAAGAGTGATCAAAAGCAAAAAATAAAATAAAATTAAAAAATCCAATTTATCATACTTAACACTCTCCTGTGCATGGCTGGAAAAAAAAATCTTCCCACGGATTTATTGGTAACACGCCGGGCAACTAGCAATTTGCAACCATGGACGTGATATGTAGAAGACGCATATAAATGTAATAAATAAATAAAATAAAACACAGGTAGTCCTCGGCTTATGCCTGCTGGAATTTCTGCTGCTAAGTGGGACATTTCTTAAGTGAGTTTTGCCACATTTCACGACCTCTCTTGCCACCGTTGTTAAGTGAATCCCTCGGTTGTTAAGTGAATCCGACTTTCTCGTTGACTTTGCTTGTCTTAAGGTCGCAAAAGGGGATCGCGTGACCCCGGGGATGCCACGACCGTCATAAATGCGAGTCAGCGGCCAAGCCGTCTGAATTTTGATCCCGTGAGCAAGGGTCGCAAGTGTGAAAAACGGTCGTAAGCGACGTTTTTCAGGGCCACTAAATGAATGGTTGTAAGTTCTGGACCACTTGCAAATATTATTGCAGAGCAGACGGAAAGGAGGGATACCATCCAGAGCCACAAAAATACAGACAGCCCTCTGTAAACTCAGCCCAAAATAAAATCGGCATAATTGCCTGGAATTTGGCAAGTCAGATCTGGTAATATCTGTAGAGGAAGTGGAACAAGAATTCTTCTGTTTCCAATAAAAAAATGGAAGATGGTGTGGAATTGTACAGACTTAAAAAGCAATTAGCGGCGGTAAATTAATAGAAGTTAATTGAGATAAAGCTTGTTTCTTAATGCCAGCTGCTGGAAATATTAATAGAGAGATGCAAGTTTGACAATCAGTTTCTGATAACCGGTCAGTTTCTCAGTGTTTCTTTGTTCTATTATTTTCTCTCCTCTCCTCCTATTCTATTCTATTCTATTCTATTCTATTCTATTCTATTCTATTCTATTCTATTCTATTCTTCTATTCTATTTTATTATTTCTATTCTATTCTTCTATTCTATTCTATTCTATTCTTCTATTCTATTCTATTCTATTCTATTCTTCTATTCTATTCTATTCTTCTATTCTATTCTATTCTATTCTATTCTATTCTATTCTATTTTCTATTCTATTCTATTCTATTCCCATCCAGTAAACCTCACCATATAGCCTCTTGCAGTTTAGATATGCAAAGCCACGACTGTACAAGTAGTCCTCGAATTATGACAGCTATTGAGACCAAAATTTTGGTCTCTCTAAATTTTGATGAGGTGGCCATGGGGGAATGCTTCCACAGTCGTGAGAAAACTGGCCATAAGTCATCCCCAAAAGTGCTTTTTTTTTAAAGAGGCAACTGGACTGATTTTTCTTTGAAGGCGTTTCGCTTCTCGTGACCAAAAAGTGGCCGTAAGTCACTTTTTTTCCGGTGTTGTTGTAACTTTGAATGGTCACTAAGCTGGAGGTCGCAAATCAAGGACTACAACCGCTCGCGCCATGGATTCCGTTCAAATCATCCCCATTTTTAAAAAAATTTGATTTATATGCCGCCCTTCTCCGGAGACTCAGGGCGGCTTACAATGCGCTAAGCAATAGCCTTCATACTTTTGTATATTTATACAAAGTCAGCTTATTGCCCCCACAAACCGGGTCCTCATTTCACCTACCTTAGAAAGGATGGAAGGCTGAGTCAACCTTGAGCCTGGCGAGATTCGAACTTACAGTAATTGCAGACAGCTGGAGTTAAATTACAATGCATTAGTCTGCTGAGCTATCCAGGCTCATAGTTTTTTGTTCAACCACAAAATAAATAAATAAATAAATAAATAAAAAATAAAGGACATTTGACTCTTCTTGAATGCTAGAGATTCCAACTTTAATTTAGCCTTTTTGGAAGCTAGAAAAGGGTTTTTTTTTTTTTTCATTTATGGCAGAAGTCTTCAAACTTTAGCACCTGCTAACGTGGACTGGGCTTCGTACATTTGTGGCTACGTAGGGATTCGAGGCTGATTCCTCTTTTGACTCCGCCCCCACGCCTTCTCCGGCAATTTTGCAATTTAGAAAAAAAAAAAGGAAAATCTCTTGCAGATAGGACCAGAATAAGCTTGCTTTTATTTTATTATTTTATTTTTAAAAGGAAGAGGCAGAATTTAGGGATGAAACTTTCCCTGCGTGGCCACTTCTTGACGCAATAAAGGCTACCTTGCATTACGGGAATGGAGACTCATCTGACAGCTTCTTTTTCTCTGGTCTCCAATTTTTGTCATTTTTACAGTTTTTGTCATTTTTTTGCTGAAGAATTTGGAGCAAAGTCTGTTCAGGATATTGTTAAAATCTCCTTAAGTCAAGCGGAGCTTCGGTTCCCTGCGCAAAAACACACACCAACACACTCACGCAGCAAAGTCTGTTTCCCCCACAGACAAGCAAAGATTGCAAAATCCATTTATTCTGGACTCCACAATGCAAGCTATTTCAATGTATTGGGCAAGGTCTTTTGTGTGTGTGTGTTTGTGTGTTGTGTGTGTGATTTATTCCACCCACACACCCCTGCCCCAAGGACAGCTTGTTAAAAAAAACCCAACAAATGCTACAATAAAAAAAAATGTTCAACTTTTCAAGTCCTTTTATAAAAGAGGCGCAGAAGTGCAATTAATTTTTCCCATCTTCAAACCTCGCATTTTTGTTCCAGTTACAATTATTATTTCTCTCTTCTCTCTCTCTCTCGTACTTACACACATACACGCACTCTCAAACACCCAAAGTCTGCAAACAAGCTTTTTATCCAACGTTTCCCTGGATTTTATGGTTCTTAAAACCTGCAAGGATGAAAGAGAGAGAGGGAAAAGAAAGGATGCAACTTGCAAAACTAAGAGAAAAAAAAATCTTACCTTCGAGTTCTGGCCGGTAAGGGTTGTATTTTGGCTTGGGAGCTACCACCGGAGCAAATTTTTTGGGGGTCTGCTGAGTGGAAACGGAAATGCTGGGGGTCCCGAAAGTATGGGTCGTCTCCATCCTTGCGGTGACGTGCCCCACCGGTTCACTGGGGTTCTTGGGGGGCAGCCATGCGGGGCGAGACATCGCTCAGTTCCTACGGAGAAAAGAGGAATGCAGCTTAATTTTTGCTTTTTTTAAAATTTATGGATCATCCTTGTCTTACGACCAAAAGGGAGCCCTGAATTTCCATTGCTAAGCGGGACAGTTGTTGGATGGACTTCAACAGACAGCATGGGAATCAATCAATTAAATCAGAGGTCTTCAAACTTGGCAGCTTTAAGACTTGTGGACTTCAACTCCCAGAATTGCTGGCTGGAGAATTCTGGGAGTTAAAGTCCACAAGTCTTAAAGCTCCCAAGTTTGAAGACCTCTGAATTAAACCGTCAATCCATGGATGGATGGATGGATGGATGGATGGATGGATCAATCAATCAATCAATCAATCAATCAATCAAGATAAGGAGAATAGGAGAATCCAAGACCTTCATGCCTTCCGCCGTTCCCTTAAAACTTTCCTTTTTCAATAAGCTGGGCTGGCCTAACAAATCCTTTTAAATGATTTTAAATGATTTTAAATTCGTTGGTCTTTTTAAATTTTGGGCCAAATTGAGATATGTCCTTTTAATCTGTTCTTAATCTATGTATTATGTATTTATGTGTTTTTACTTGGCTGTACACCGCCCTGAGTCCCTAGGGAGAAGGGCGGTATATAAATCTAAAGTAAAATAAAAATTAAAAAAATTGCAAACAGCCATAGTCCACGGAGTCCTTCACCCGACATGATGGCAATGAATTTGGGGTCCTAGCAAGTTTGCAGAAATGTGGGTTTGTTTGTGTGTGTGTGTTTTTTTTTTCAAATTGGTGCTTTCAGTCACTTGTCTGAAATGGTACAGCATAGGGGCTCCTGCTTGAGCAAGGAGGAGACCTCCAAGCTCCCTTCCAGCTCTATTCTAGGTTCTAGATTCTTTCTTGATGCCTTGGGATACGATGTCTTCCATTATGCCCATCTCAGAGGATAGGGCTGTTAATCCAAGACATCTGGACAATTTTCCGAAGAAATGCAGTTAAATCCATCTGACAATCTTTATTCTAATAAAGGAGAATATATTTGTAGCTGCAGGGTTGACAGGAGGGTGCTCTCTGAGCCTTGGTGGTTTTCTTGCAGGCATTTAATTACCCAACTAGGTAACATCTTCAGGGAAGGAAGGAAGGAAGGAAGGAAGGAAGGGAGGGAGGGAGGGAGGGAGGGAGGGAGGGAGGGAGGGAGGGAGAGTAAGAACTTTGGGATACTTGATGTTATCTGAGCCTTGGTGGTTTTCTTGCAGGCATTTAATTACCCAACTAGGTAATTATATATAAACATAGAGCAAACTCCACTCCCTTCTAGCACTGATGATGTTACCTAGTTGGGTAATTAAATGCCTGCAAGAAAACCACCAAGGCTCAGATAACATCAAATATCCCAAAGTTATTTTCCTTCCTTCCTTCCTTCCTTCCTTCCTTCCTTCCTTCCTTCCTTCCTTCCTTCCTTCCTTCCTTCCTTCCCTGAAGATATTACCTAGTTGGGTAATTAAATGCCTGCAAGAAAAACCACCAAGGCTCAGAGAGCACCAAGGACCCCTCAATCTTTATTCTCTTTTTCTTCCTGCAAGAAAACACTCCATCTTTGTCCAACACCGCAGGAGCTACAGAAGTTCTCGAGTTACGACCACAACGGAGCCCAACGTTTCCGTTGCTAAGCGAGACTTATTAAGTGCGTTTCGCGTCGTTTTACCATTTTTCTTGCCACAGGGGCTAAGTGAATTCACAGCAGTTCTTAACTTAGTCACCCGGCTGTTAAGTGAATCGGGTTTCCCCGTTGATTTTGCTCGTCCGACGGTCACAAAAGGGGCACTGCAACTGTCATAAGTACATGCCAGTTGCCAAGCCTCTGAAGTTGTGACCAGGGGGATGCTGCAACGGTTGTTAAGTGTGAAAAACAGTCTTTTTTTCCTGTACTGTTATAACTTCAAATGGTCACTAAACGAATGGATTACTGTACATATTTTAACCAGCCCAGCCCAGGTCGTTTGCTCTCTATATTTAGAGGGGCCAGACTAGTGGTGAAATCCAAAAATTTTTACTACCAGTTCTGTGGGCGTGGCTTGGTGGGCGTGGCAGGGGAAGGATATTGCAAAATCTCCATTCCCTCCCCACTCCAGGGGAATGATACTGCAAAATCTCCATTCCCTCCCCACTCCAGGGGAAGAATATTGCAAAATCCCCATTCCCTCCCCACTCCAGGGGAAGGATACTGCAAAATCTCCATTCCCTCCCCACTCCAGGAGAAGAATATTGCAAAATCTTCATTCCTTCCCCACTCCAGGGGAAGAATATTGCAAAATCTCCATTCTCTCCCCACTCCAGGGGAAGAATACTGCAAAATCTCCATTCTCTCCCCACTCCAGGGGAAGGATACTGCAAAATCTTCATTCCTTCCCCACTCCAGGGGAAGAATACTGCAAAATCTCCATTCTCTCCCCACTCCAGGAGAAGAATATTGCAAAATCTCCATTCCCTCCCCACTCCAGGGGAAGAATATTGCAAAATCCCCATTCCCTCCCCACTCCAGGGGAAGGATACTGCAAAATCTCCATTCCCTCCCCACTCCAGGAGAAGAATATTGCAAAATCTCCATTCTCTCCCCACTCCAGGGGAAAAATATTGCAAAAGCCCCATTCCCTCCCCACTCCAGGGGAAGGATACTGCAAAATCTCCATTCCCTCCCCACTCCAGGAGAAGAATATTGCAAAATCTCCATTCCCTCCCCACTCCAGGGGAAAAATATTGCAAAATCTCCATTCCCTCCCCACTCCAGGGGAAGAATACTGCAAAATCCCCATTCCCTCCCCACTCCAGGGAAAGAATATTGCAAAATCCCCATTCCCTCCCCACTCCAGGGGAAGAATATTGCAAAATCCCCATTCCCTCCCCACTCCAGGGGAAGGATACTGCAAAATCTCCATTCCCTCCCCACTCCAGGAGAAGAATATTGCAAAATCTCCATTCTCTCCCACTCCAGGGGAAAAATATTGCAAAATCTCCATTCCCTCCCCACTCCAGGGAAGAATATTGCAAAATCTTCATTCTCTCCCCACTCCAGGGAAGAATATTGCAAAATCCCCATTCCCTCCCCACTCCAGGGAAAGAATACTGCAAAATCTCCATTCTCTCCCCACTCCAGGGAAAGAATACTGCAAAATCTCCATTCTCTCCCCACTCCAGGGGAAGAATACTGCAAAATCTCCATTCTCTCCCCACTCCAGGGGAAGAATACTGCAAAATCTCCATTCTCTCCCCACTCCAGGGGAAGAATACTGCAAAATCTCCATTCCCTCCCCACTCCAGGGGAAGAATACTGCAAAATCTCCATTCCCTCCCCACTCCAGGGGAAGAATACTGCAAAATCCCCATTCTCTCCCCACTCCAGGGGAAGAATATTGCAAAATCTCCATTCCCTCCCCACTCCAGGGAAAGAATATCGCAAAATCTTCATTCCCTCCCCACTCTGGGGCCAGCCAGAAGTAGTATTTGCCAGTTCTCTAAACTACTCAAAATTTCCGCTACCGGTTCTCCAGAACCTGTCAGATCCTGCTGGATTTCACCCCTGGGCCAGACCCCCCAAGTTATGGAAAAAACACAACCTGTTGTGCAAAATGCAGCTCCCTCCTATAAACAACCTGGATTGCAAAGAGGAATCAAACAAGAATTAAATTTCCAGATCTCTGCAGGCCGAAAAATGCATTTTCCGTTTCTCAGACGAGACGTATTAATGACAGATCAGAGACCCCCCCGTTTCTTCCCCGAGAAAGGGAAACATGGGCCGAGACGAAGAGGGATAAAGCGGTAGTAAGAGAAGCCACCTATTCTGCAAACCGTTAGCAACTGACTTTTATCGAAAGCAGCTGTAATGACCATCAATCATTGGCCATTTTTCAGACGAGCGGAGGAGAAATTTGATGCACTGTCGAAAAGGGGGGGGGGAAAAAAGAGAGAGAATTTCCTACGGCTGGAGAGAAAATCAACACAGCTGCGAATAAAAGGGATTCAGACAGATTGAATTGACTGTATTTGGGGGTTGGAAAGCGGGAAAGAAAATGTTATTTATTCCACAGAGAGCAGGTAGTAGATGATGACCTAAGAGGCATCTGCTCCCACCTTTCAACTCCATCCAAAAAAAAGAGAGAGAGAGAATTGGAAGCTATTTCCAAAATCAAAAAAGGTAACCCTTTTGTCTGAAATGACACAGGGTATCCTGCTTCAGCAGAGGGTTGGACTAGAAGACCTCAAGGGTCTCTTCCAGCCCTATGTTTCTAGAATTCTATGATCTTGGGCAGGGGGTTGGACTAGAGCCCCAGTTTTGGTCGCCACGATGTAAAAAAGATGATGAGACTCTAGAAAGAGTGCAGAGAAGAGCAACCAAGATGATTAGGAGGCTGGAGGCTAAAACATAGGAAGAACGGTTGCAAGAACTGGTCATGGCAAGTTTACGGAAAAGAAGGACTAGGGGAGACATGATAGCACTCTTCCAATATCTCAGGGGCTGCCAATAAGAGGAGGGGGTCAAGCTATTCTCCAAAGCACCTGAAGGCTGGACAAGAAGCAATGGGTGGAAACTCATCAAGGAGAGAAGCAACCTCGAACTAAGGAGAAATTTCCTGACCATGAAGACAATTAACCAATGGAACAGCTTGCCACCAGAAACTGTGGGAGCTCTATCACTGGAGGCTTTTAAGAAGAGACTGGACAGCCATTTGTCTGAAATGGAATAGGGTCTCCTGCTTGAAGAAGGGGGTTGGACTAGTCACTAGAAGACCTCCAAGGTCCCTTCCAACTCCACGACATATCCTGTCGTGTCCTCTCCTTTCCTGTCCTCTCCTAATTCATTCCTATTCCCATTCCAATATTTTATTCTTATTCTATTCTCCATAGTCCCTTCCAGCCCTAGGATTCTATGCTCCTATGATCTTGGGCAGAGGGTTGGACTAGAAGACCTCCAAGGTCTCTTCCAGCTCTGTCATTCCGTTAAAATACATCTCTGTTCAAATCTCTCATTTTATGTCTGTCTGTCTGTC